GCATCAGTGTTAAGCCGAATATCATTTGTTACCTTGACTAGAGCGGTCTCAGTACTGTGGTGTGGTCTAAATCCAGACTGAAACATGTCAAATGAGTCATTAGATATTAAAAATTCAGTAAGTTGTTGGTAGGCAACTTTTTCAAGAATTTTTCCCATGAAAGGCAGATTTGAGATGGGACGGTAATTTTCAAGTACCGCAGCATCCAAACTGCTCTTTTTTAGGAGGGGCCTAATGACTGCCTTTTTCAGGGCCATTGGAAATGTTCCAGATAAAAAAGACATGTTTACTATTTGTGTCAATGAGGGTAATAGACTACACATAACAGACTTCAGAAATCTAGGAGGTAGTACATCCAGACTGCAGGTAGAGGAACTAAGACCTGTGATTATCTTTTTAACAGTTTCATCATTGACAGGTGCAAATTGAGCTAGCTCACAAAGCCTCACTGGATGTTGCATTGTTACTTGTGTTGTAGAGGTGATGGCATTTCTGATACCCTGAACCTTGTCTCTGAAGAACTGTGCAAACTCATTACACCTGGATTTGGAGTAGTGTTCTAATGGCAACTCAACAGGGGGGTTCGTTAATCTATTGATTGTTGAAAATAGAACACGCAGATTGTTGCTGCAGCCTTCAATAGTTTCAGAAAAGTATAATTCTCTTGTTCTACGTAGTACTCTGTTAAACTCACACAACTTCTCTTTTAAGAGTCTATAATCACCCTGGAGGTTGGACTTTCTCCACTTTCTCTCTGCTCTCCGGCACTCTTGATGATGCTGAAAAGAACACATTATAAATAAATTGAATCTATGTGTTTTTTTTTTTATCTCTTTTTGAGCACTTTGTGACTTCTTAAAAACTAGATTTGACATTTAGTCTAATTTTAAGAACTGTTGCTTTATTTCCTCATTCCAAGGGAGACATTTCTGTATCTGTTTAAAATCCTTTTGCTTTGTCCAAGTGGAGAATCTTGTTTTAATACCGTCACTATCTGTCCAAATTAAAACACATTTTGCCATATTTGATTCATTTTTGACTTATTTTTCATTACTTTTTGCAGTAAGGGTCTGAGGACAGTACAACCCAGGACATTTAAGTTCATTGATTAGCATTTATGGTCATCATCCCGCTCCCTATGGACCCATGACTCAATGTGTTTGTTATTACTGCCTCTCCTTTGTGCTTCCAAGACGACTGCTGTTGTACAAAATCCCAGACTAACGTTTATACAGAATTCTGCTTCTCCATCCATCCATCCATCCATTTTCTTCCCCTTAATCCATTTCTGGGTCGGGGGGGTGGCCAGAGCTGCACCCAGTCCACAGAGCACCAGCCCCTCACTGATCCTCCTGCAGGTGGTGAGTCCACAGGAGCTGAGATCTTTCAGTGGGGGCTTCAGGCAAAGTGGGGTTAGTGTCTTGCCCAAGGACACAACGACAGCAGTCATCAGTGGGAGTTGTGAAGTAGGTCTTGAGGTGGGCTCGAACCCACGACCTTCAAGTTCAAAGGCCAATGCTCTACCAACTGAGCCACTGTCGCCCCTGAATTCTGCTTCTTCACCCTCAAAAAGCTTAACTTGTCTAAAAGGCGTAGAGTGGATTATCCTTCCGTAACCGCAATACTTGGCTCCTATATGCTTTAACGCCCTATAATACTGTAATGCCCCATTAGATTTGCCCTTTTGACGGGTTAAACGTTGGCCCTACCACATGTTGTGCACAAAGGAGACCCGGCCGCCGGCTCCGTTCATTAATCACTCTGCGTAGAAGCTTTTTCGCGAAAAACTCAACTTTCTCTACAACCGTATCCCTCAGAGGAACCCGAGGCTGCTTCCCTGTTCCTTAATTAGTCCGCATCCTTCTCCTCGCACCGGGTCCCATGGGTGCTGCCTGTTCTCCATCTCTCTATTTACCGGGGCCCGCTGATGGTGGCTCGCCGCGGGGCAGACGAGATCTCCCGTCGTCATGAAGGAGACGGATGGCGTGGGACGTTGGCACCAGCTCCAGCCTTCAGAGACCGCCGCCGCTACTGCTACTGCTGCAGCGACAGAGCACATTGCAGAGGCTTAAATGTCACGTATGAGCAGCTTGTGTGCTCGCGGTCACCTGCGGCCGTCGGCAAAAATGAATAGTTTGGATTCAAGGGAAGAAGCAGCCATTAAAACGCTTCATTTAACCCAAAAATGCAAATACAAATGTCGCAGTCTTGGGACTCAGCCACCGGGTTAGCACGGTGGCTGAGTGGTTAGCAGTCTCAAATCTCAGCAAGAAGGTCCTGGGTTCGAATCCCGGTCGGAACAGGGCCTCTCTGATTGGAGTTTGCATGTTCTCCCCGTGCCTGCGTAGGTTTCCTCCGGGTGCTCCGGTTTCCCCTACCACTAAAAATATGCACAGTGGACCTGACTGTAAATGAGAGAGTGAATGGATGGTGTTGGGTCAGAGGCTTTGATGGTCCAGTGTGTTCTGGACTCGCTTCTGTCATCACCGTGTGTGGAAGGATTGGAACAATATCTGAACTCTGAACATTGTAAAGTGCTTTGGGAGAACTTGGTCTGTAAAATGCGCTATATAAATAAACATACAACTTACTTACTTTAACAATGTACGAGCCATGGTTTGGTTAATCTGACTGTTTTTTTTACCGCTGAGACCGGGGGTTCCCAAACTTTTAAAGACGGGACCTGAAAATTGGCACAAATCCGACCTCCATGAGACTTTTTACTTACTTCTTATCATCCTGAAGTTAGAGGTTTTAGATTGAATTCTTTCTTTTTCGTTTTTATTGTATTTTATTTTAGTATAGACTTATTGTTTGTTTATCTTGTGCTTTGTGCTCCTCATTCCTAGTCTTCTGTACTTGCTGACGTAACACTGATGGTCTTACCACACCATGGGACTCATTTCATTTCGTACTAAGGTCTGGATTTGCTCCATTGACTCCGTTTACAGGTGGGAGGGGCTAACTCCTTTTGCAGATTGGAACGATTGGATCTGAGTTTACCGTGACGTATGTAATGAGCCTGAGTGAGTCGTTAGCATTAGCATTTAGCCTAGCTTTAGCCATCTCCTTTGCCACTAATTGAGCCAAATCTCGTTTTATTATTCTGTTTAGATTCTTCATAAATCACAGGAGAAATATGGAACTAAATAGATTTTATTTTTTTGGGATCCCAGCTTTTATCCTGTTAAAAACTCTTACTGTGTAGAAACCTTGTACTCTGAAGTAAATATGTGTAAAAATGATACTGTATTCATTTTTATTTGACTTAGCTGCACAAACTCGGCCGATCTTCCTGGAGTCCAGTCTGAATTGTCTAGCTTGAGGCTATTAGCTAGCCCATGCTACACTTCCAAACACACTCCAAATCTATTTTTAGCTGGCGTCCAACAACTAGAAGTGGTTATTTTCCATTGTGAATCGATGCTTTCTGCCGCCGTCTGTCGCCTTTGCAGCGCGTGTGTCATACATATTACAAAGCGTATGCAGAGAGAGCGCTGTCATTTACGCCACATTAATTTGCCTCTTGATGTTAAGTCACAGATGTCTCCGGGCTGCCAGCGAAGTCAAGACACATACTCCTCCTGCAGCCGCTAAATATAAGTGACCTTTCTCATTCCCAGATGTGCACAGCGGCTGCATCGCATCCCAGCCGCTCTTTTCACTCCTAAAAAGAGAAGAAGAAGAAAAGGGCGTCCTGTGTCTTTGATGGGCACCTGTTGGAGAATTCGTTTTAGATTCTGAAAGAGGCTTGTCAAGGTCTTGTGGTTATTGAAAGCGGCCAAAATTAAAAAAATGTGACCTAGAGTTTTACACATACTGTAAGTCTTGTTATTCTCCACATATCAGCACAAGCTTTCAAACCTGTTTTTTTCCCGGATATGCGTAAAGTGACTGGTTGCTTTTACTTCCAGAGCTGCGGGGTTGGCGGCTCTTAGCGGCTCCTTTGTCTCTAAAATGTGAAAAATCCAATGTTCCTCCACATGGGATTCATTGGAAATATACAGGTTTTTTCTTCATCGGCCTCAAAGAAATTTAAAGTGGAAAAACTGGAGGTTCAGGCTCTCAAAAAGCACTTACGACGTGATATTTCGTTGTCCTAATACCACAGATGTAAACTGGGATTTAATGGCCCAAATGTAGGTTCCTATTCAGCATCTTTTTATTGTAGAAAGAGTAATAATTTTCAAATGTTTGCAAAGGTTAGTCCCGCCCACACTGACCGCTCCTGCTTCCTGATTGGCTGAAATACATAATTATCCAATCAGAGAGCGCGGGAGGCGGGTGTTGTAGTTAGATGTGGGAGACGTCAAGAGTTTGCGTCGGGAAGGTCGTAGTTTGGATAGTAAAGTAATCCTGTCTGGTTCTATCAAGAAACTGAAGCCGGAGCAAGAGGAATGTTTAGCAAATGTAATCTCTGGCAAAGATTGTGTCGCTACTCCCCACAGTCTCCGTTAGCGACAAAGGAGATGGCTAAAGCTAGGCTACATGCTAACAACTCAATCGGGCGCATTACAAACGTCACGGTAAACTCAGATCCAATCGTTCCAATCTGCAAAAGGAGTTAACCCCTCCCACCTGTTAACGGAGTCAATGGAGCAAATCCAGACTTTAGTGCGAAATGCAATTAGTACTATGGAGGGGTACGACCAGGCTAGGGAGGAGTTGATTCAAAACAATTTATAGCGTCTACCATCAAAAATAAAACGTCATTTTCTTGAACATTGAACATTAAAGGGTTAAACCAGTCGGACTCCAACACACCCAGGTGGACTGCAGACTGAGAACCACCCGTCTGTGGCTGCCACGGTCCTCAAACCCGTTCACATAAAGTTACTGTGCTTTTGATTCGTGGCTGCTTTACCACCACATGTGTTAAATGTCTTGATCTTCATATTTCTGGATCAGAGCGTGGCCCTCCGCTGCTGCTGCTCTGTTTGAAGTGTGTCCTGCTTCGTTACAGACTCTAACCTGCTGCATTGTGGGTCTCTGGTCCCTTATTACCGCGGCACCCCGGGGCTCCACGCCTTTAAATATTCTCTGTACGCATAAAACAAGAGCCAAAAACTTGAAAGCGCCGCCACAAAGCCTGACCCGTAGAAGCCTGACCCACAGAAGCCTGACCCGTAGAAGCCTGACCCACAGAAGCCTGACCCGCAGAAGTCTGACCCGCAGAAGTCTGACCCGTAGAAGCCTGACCCGCAGAAGTCTGACCCACAGAAGCCTGACCCACAGAAGTCTGACCCACAGAAGTCTGACCCACAGAAGTCTGACCCGCAGAAGTCTGACCCGTAGAAGCCTGACCCACAGAAGCCTGACCCACAGAAGCCTGACCCACAGAAGCCTGACCCACAGAAGTCTGACCCGCAGAAGTCTGACCCGTAGAAGCCTGACCCACAGAAGCCTGACCCACAGAAGCCTGACCCACAGAAGCCTGACCCGTAGAAGCCTGACCCACAGAAGTCTGACCCGCAGAAGCCTGACCCGCAGAAGTCTGACCCGCAGAAGTCTGACCCACAGAAGTCTGACCCGCAGAAGCCTGACCCACAGAAGCCTGACCCACAGAAGTCTGACCCGCAGAAGTCTGACCCACAGAAGCCTGACCCACAGAAGTCTGACCCACAGAAGTCTGACCCACAGAAGTCTGACCCACAGAAGCCTGACCCGCAGAAGCCTGACCCACAGAAGCCTGACCCACAGAAGCCTGACCCACAGAAGCCTGACCCACAGAAGTCTGACCCGTAGAAGCCTGACCCACAGAAGCCTGACCCACAGAAGCCTGACCCACAGAAGCCTGACCCACAGAAGTCTGACCCGCAGAAGTCTGACCCGTAGAAGCCTGACCCACAGAAGCCTGACCCACAGAAGCCTGACCCACAGAAGCCTGACCCGTAGAAGCCTGACCCACAGAAGTCTGACCCGCAGAAGCCTGACCCGCAGAAGTCTGACCCACAGAAGTCTGACCCGTAGAAGCCTGACCCACAGAAGCCTGACCCACAGAAGCCTGACCCGCAGAAGTCTGACCCGCAGAAGCCTGACCCACAGAAGCCTGACCCACAGAAGTCTGACCCGCAGAAGTCTGACCCGCAGAAGCCTGACCCACAGAAGCCTGACCCACAGAAGTCTGACCCGCAGAAGTCTGACCCACAGAAGCCTGACCCACAGAAGTCTGACCCACAGAAGTCTGACCCGCAGAAGTCTGACCCGCAGAAGCCTGACCCACAGAAGTCTGACCCGCAGAAGTCTGACCCACAGAAGCCTGACCCACAGAAGTCTGACCCGCAGAAGTCTGACCCGCAGAAGTCTGACCCACAGAAGCCTGACCCACAGAAGTCTGACCCGCAGAAGTCTGACCCACAGAAGCCTGACCCACAGAAGTCTGACCCGCAGAAGCCTGACCCACAGAAGTCTGACCCGCAGAAGCCTGACCCACAGAAGCCTGACCCACAGAAGTCTGACCCACAGAAGCCTGACCCGTAGAAGCCTGACCCACAGAAGTCTGACCCACAGAAGTCTGACCCACAGAAGCCTGACCCACAGAAGCCTGACGTGTTTGTTCTAAAAATAATAATAATCATTATTATTATTATTATAAATTACATCAGTTTAATATAGCGCTTTTTGGACACTCAAAGTCTCTTCACAGTTTATAATTCTGCTGTAGCCACAGCTGCCCTGACTGTAGCCACAGCTGCCCTGACTGTAGCCACAGCTGCCCTGACTGTAGCCACAGCTGCCCTGAATGTAGCCACAGCTGCCCTGACTGTAGCCACAGCTGCCCTGACTGTAGCCACAGCTGCCCTGACTGTAGCCACAGCTGCCCTGACTGTAGCCACAGCTGCCCTGACTGTAGCCACAGCTGCCCTGACTGTAGCCACAGCTGCCAGACACATTATGAGGCAACCAGTCTGTGCCATCGGCCCCTCCCACCACCACCAACCATTCACACACACACCAGACTCATTCTAATGTCTTGCCTAAGGACACAACCACAGTTTGGCACTTTAAAATAACACAATAAAATAGACAAAAGGAGGACCACACAACTCGGTGTGAAAAGCCAGAGAGTAAAAGTGGGTTTTAAGATGAGGGTTAAAACATTCCGCTGTTTTAACTGTTTTGAAAGTCATGACGTTGTGTAAATTATTTTTTAAACTCTCCAACACGTGATTTTTTTCCTTTTTATTGCTGAGCCCTGTGTCAGGTCTATGAGCAGTGACGTTGGGTGTGATTCCCGGCCTCTGCGCGGCGGATCGTTAGCGGTTAGCTGTCAGCAGGAATGAGCGGGGCGTGTGGTTCTGCTACAGCGCCAATTAAATGTATTTAACCCGAGGTCGTTCACCGACACAGACAGAAACAACCTCTAAAGCCAAGACGATACGAGGCAGAAGAGGAGAGAGAAGAAGAAGGAAAAAAAAGGCTTAAGCGCGTCGTAAATGTTTTATTGAGCTGCTTTGAACAACTGGAGCTGAAGAATGGCCTCTTCTACACCGATGACCCAGTTAACTCTGCGGCTGGAGGTGCGCCCACTTTGGACAGATATCCCCCCAAAAAATTAGCCTTTTTTCAAACCCGAAGTCTGGCTGAGATTCTGCTGATTGCGCTCCCACGAGAGGCTTCGACCGCTCCGTCCATTTGCCAAAAGTATCGCGGCTTTTGATCATGGCTAATCAAGAGGAGCACAGGGAGTCGCACTCGGGGCTGGAGTTAAAGTTGAAGCAGGCCGCGGTCTCTGAAATGCTAATATTTAAGTTTTTTTTGATATATTTGGATGGTGTTCGTAAGTACAACAATGTGGGGTTGTTATTGGTAAAGTGGCTGCTCGGCTCCTTGACTCAGATGAAACCTTTGGAGTTTTTGTTTTGAATTAGCGTTGTCTTCTTTTAGCCGTTTCTAGCTCGGGCTGTTTGGAAAAGTCTTGCCCGGTGAAGGAAATTATGACATGAAAATAATACACGAAAATGAAAAGTAGAAGAGCGATTTAGCGATTTATTGTATTGCGATATTTTGGCCACGATTCCGTATTAATGAAATCCTTAATTTATCGTGATCCGATTTTGAGAGATATTGTGATTTGTGTCCCGCATATTTTTCAAAAATTTAGGAAAATGAGACCTAAATGTCACTTATTATGGTCTGTACAATAACTGCCACATCAAGCAGACATCACACACACATCACACCTTTGCTCAGATCTAAGTCATTATATAAAAACAATGTCTGGTCTGACTACAGAGAGAATAAGCCTTAAAGACCTTATGACGGGTTTGATTTATTTAGAAATACAGTTTTAATACCATTTTATATTAGAGGAGAACTACTAAACGTTTCAAAATCAGTTGTTGTTTTTTTTGTCTGATCCCCCCAAATCAAAATAACCCCATAGCAACGCCCTTAGAAACGAAAAAACTTCACAGCCCTTGGTGACGTCAGAACGGGTACGTTTCAACGCTGTAAGTTGTTTACAATTTGGTATTCGTTCTTTTTTTGCGGATATTCAAGATGACAAGGTCGTGTACAGAGAGTATGATATTAGTACTACATTATAACACTTCATTGTCACTGAGATAGTCCAGTGGTTGTGTCGATGGACTGCCAATCCAGAAACTGGGGTTCAAATCCCACCTCAGACACTTTTTCACTCTCAAAACGGCAATTTATGTGTAATGAGCAATTGTCACCTGTAGAGGGCAGTATTGTGTTGGGCATCGGTGGAGAGAAGAGAGAAAAGGCAGTCCTGTGGCATAGATCCATGGTTTTCAATGCATGGGCGTTACCCGCTGTGACGTCACACACAGGTTAGAGCATAGACAACTTAAATTCATGAAAAACACGTTCTTTTTATAAAATATAGGATTTTTTTTGCCGGAATCTCTTTCAAATTGACATTGTCATGCAATTTTGATATCCACACATTTTTTTTTTAAAACCCGTCATAAGGTCTTTAAATGTATCTCCATGTCCTCTTCTTGTATGTTTGTTATTGCCCCTGTTTCTTTACCACTGCTGTATCATGTCCTTTACCGTTGCTCTACTCTGGTCTTATCCATCCGTACTCTCCTGTCAATCATCATGTCCTGCCTGTAACGTCTGGGTCTGGTCCCTGTGTTTGTGATTACAATCGGTTGAATTCTATCCGACCAATCAGAGAGCGCGGGAGGCGGGTGTTGTAGTTAGATGTGGGTGACGTCAAGAGTTTGAGTCGAACGGGCAGGTTGTAGTTTGGCGAAGAATGTGACAGTAAAGTATTCTGGTCTGGTTCTATCAAGAAACTGAAGCCGGAGCAAGAGGAATGTTTAGCAAATGTAATCGCTAGAAAAAATTGTGGCGCTACTCCCCACGGGATCCTTTAGCGGCAAAGGAAATGGCTAAAGCTAGGCTAAATGCTAACAACACACTCGGGCTCATTACATTGGTCACAGTAAACTCAGATCCAATCGTTTCAATCTGCAAAAGGAGTTAACCCCTCCCACTGTTAACGGAGTCAATGGAGCAAATCCAGACCTCAGTACCAAATGTAATTAGTACTATGGTGTGGTAAGACCAGGCTACCGTTGCTGGTATCTCCCTCATGCAGTTGTTTTGCGTCCTTGTAAATTGTCTGTAAATGTCCTTAAACCCATTCATTGTTACTTTCAGTTGACCTTGTCCTGGAGAAAACAAGAAGCTCAATGATTTTTATGTTTGAAGAAAACAGGGCTGGGATTAAATATGTTTTTTTATTCTTCCGACTCCTTTTTGAGTATCTGCGAGTGTTTCTCTTGTGTATTTACTATTTATAATTTAGTATTATGTAAATGTGCAGTTATGTGTTCAAAACATGGCTTATAATGTATCGATTTAACTGTCTGCAGAATTTATTTTCACCCCACCACTAAAATTAGTCAACAAATAAATACCTTAAACAATATACCTTCTTACCTAATTCTCTTGTTTACCAAAAGTATTTTAGTAAGTAAGTAAGTAAGTAGTAATGTTTATTTATATACTGCCTTTCACAGACAAGGGTCACAAAGTGGTTTACAATTGTTTTGGGCATTTGTCTCTCACTCCACACAGAGATGGGAGCGGGGCCAGTACAGGAGGCACATGCCAGAACTATTGTACATATTTTTAGTGGTAGGGAAACCGGAGTACCCGGAGGAAACCTACGCAGACACGGGGAGAACATGCAAACTCCACTCAGAAAGGCCCTGGTCCGACCGGGATTTGAACCCAGGACCTTCTTGCTGAGAGGCGAGAGTGCTATCCACTCAGCCACCGTGCCGCCCATATTTTACGACCCGTGCACCGTGATGTAATAAACATTTCTCGGAGTGCGCAGAGCGAGAGTGAAAACCCGTTTAGTGAGCGTGTGGTTAAGTTCCTGATGATGTCACATGGGGCGCCTGCTTTATGTCTGCGCTTCTAATTGCACTGCGGCGATGCTAACCCAGACCCAGCACTGGCCCTGTCTGTTTAACCATAATGCTGGTATGATTAGCACCGCCATTAGCACTTATGGCTTTGGCAATGGGCTTCTGGGTGGGTGGTAAGAGCATTCTCACAAAGTAGTTTTAAGTTCAGTCTCGCTGTGGACCATATGACGTAAAAGGACCATATGACGTAAAAGGACCATATGGAGAGTCTGGAACGCTGAAGGATCAAACTGGGAAAGATAAATGTTTGAGAAAAGTGAGTAATAACAGAAGTTTTTAGTGCCAATGAATCACCTAAAGCATTTGAGCTATGATACTGTCACGTAGGCCGAGGACAGACCGAGGACAGACCGAGGACAGACCGAGGACGGGCCGAGGACGGACCGAGGACGGACCGAGGACGGACCGAGGACGGACCGAGGACGGACCGAGGACAGACAGAGGACAGACCGAGGACAGACCGAGGACAGACCGAGGACAGACAGAGGACGGACAGAGGACGGACCGAGGACGGACCGAGGACAGACCGAGGACAGACCGAGGACAGACCGAGGACAGACAGAGGACAGACAGAGGACAGACAGAGGACGGACAGAGGACGGACCGAGGACGGACCGAGGACAGACCGAGGACAGACCGAGGACAGACCGAGGACAGACAGAGGACAGACAGAGGACGGACCGAGGACGGACCGAGGACGGACCGAGGACGGACCGAGGACGGACCGAGGACGGACCGAGGACGGACCGAGGACGGACCGAGGACGGACCGAGGACGGACCGAGGACGGACCGAGGACGGACCGAGGACGGACCGAGGACGGACCGAGGACAGACCGAGGACAGACCGATTACAGTTGGCAAAAATAAAATAAAATGGCCTATTCATTTGGTCTAATGAGATTATTCAAAATGGCCGACTAATTAGTCTCAAAATAAATGTTTTTTTTTTTTTTTTTAAAGGATTGTTTACATCTGTCTCTGCAGTGCATTCTGGGTAGCGTCACTGCTTCACTCTCTGTATCGACTGTGTCAGTGTTTCGAAGCGTTTCATTGGCTCATTGAGTTTCCCGGCTACAGGTTGAGATAAATGTTACTTCCTGTACACAGGTTTGTCCTCATACGTTGGACTTGTTTTCACATCGGAAAGAGTGACACGGAGTAAAGCCACTTATTTTCAAGTTCAATAAGAGAAAGACAAATGAACAACGTAGAGTTAGCGCAGAATATTCTACATCAGGGGTGTCAAACTCTTTTTAGTTTTTTACATTATGAAGATATTTTAACAAAACTTTAATGTGACATGAGTTTCACTGTTATTTTCTGGTCTATTTTTCTGAAAACAAAATGTGTTTATTGCTTAGATTGAACCAAAACTGGATAAAACATAAAGTAAAAGCACGATTTAACTTCTAATTATGTGTTTTTGGGTTAAAATGTTGGAATACATAAAATTAGGTTGATTTACAGAGAAAATAGATTATGTATAACCTGCCCCGGTCGCCCATTACCATCATTACTGCTAGTTAATAATAATAACAAATACTTTTCGAGGCCACAATAATAATTTTAGGACTTTGACACCCATGCTCTATATGGATACTCATGACTAATGTAGGTTAATTTCGTATTTCTGGCTCAAAAAAAAACCTTTCACTTTTTAACATGTCGCACACTTCCTGTTTCCCGATTGACCCTATTTATGCCAAATGTGACGTGTCATTTCATTCCACTGTGAGATCGATACAGTCTTAGCTTATCTTAGAGATGGCTGCAGTGAGCGACGCATCAATCAGCCATCTTGTATCTACATAGCACAGTCCATACGGAATGTACCCCAAAGTACTTCACATCAGCAACGTTTAAAACCAATTTAAAAACACACTGTAAAAAACAATTACAGAAGACAGAGACGCATAGTGGTACGGTCGGCACCAGATCATACACGGAATCGGGACGAAACTGGAAGTAACACACCTACTTTGGAATTAGTTTTAGACTAAAAAGTCCTTAAAGCAAAGGAAGGTTTCTCACCTATCATCTGTACTTCTTAGCAAGTTTTCCCGACGTTTCGTCCTCAACCTGGGGACTTCTTCAGGGAATGAATTCTCGGCCCGCGTTGGAGATTTATAACCTATGGGTGTGGTAAGCCACACCCTAATCCTGATACTAACTCGTAAACAATCTCAGGTCTGCTTGATGTAGAAGGGAGCAGGTCTAACGACCCTGCTGAGGCTAACGACCCTAACTCCTTAGCATGTCACAGACCTATTGTCTGCTGGGATGCTCAAGTGGAGTGCAGGTCTCACCCCTCCTAACTCATTAGCATGTCACTGACCTTGTCCCAAGTTAGGGCGTTGTTTTTAGGATGTCGTCATAGATGCGAGGCAAAACAAATCTTAACCCTCCTCCTCTGTTAAGAGAAGGTTTCTGTTTCCTCACAAAAATAGCTTCTTTCACCCCTCTCTCAAACCAATTCTTCTCCCGAGCCAGAATTTTAACCTCTGTATCATCCACCGTGTGGTTGGAGGCCTTGAGGTGGAGATGAACAGCCGACTGTGGCCCACTAGAGTTTTCTCTACGATGTTGGTAAAGTCGTTTCTGTAGAGTTTGTTTGGTTTCTCCAATATAGTGGTCAGTGCACTCCTCTTCACTACATTTAATTGAATACACCACATTGCTCTGTTTGTGTCTGGGTGTTTTGTCTTTGGGATGCACTAATTTCTGTCTTAACGTGTTGAAAGGTTTGAAATACACAGGGATTAGTGTTGCCTAAAGATTCTTTGTAGTTTCTCTGAAACTCCCGCCACATACGGTAAGGACACGCCTCTCCTCCTACTTTCAAAAAAAGTCCTTAAGTGGTGACTGGTTAAGTTTTAGGCGTCTGAGTAAGATGGTTAAGGTTAGGGTTAAGGCTGGGTTGGGGTTATTTTATGGGAATGGCTGGTTAAAGGAGCTATACCCGTTTCTGCAATGTTTGAATGTTTAGCACCGCCCCCAACTCGCTCACAGGCTTCTCATTTCCCCTACGCTCTCATAACACAGAGCCACCTAGTTTTATTTGTGATCTGATACATATGCTAACATTAGCATTAGCGCAACTTCTTGGAAGCTGTACAACAATCACTGATGAAATGGCACTAAAGCAACGCACTGCTAACACAATATATAAGTAAAAGAATACTACTAGTTTCACGTCCGAATGTATTAATTTAAACATTAGAATATATTCTAATATTTAATTATAATTTATTATACAGCTCCTCACAGCAGCAGGAGCATTGACTTGAATGTAGTTCTTCCGATCATTTTTTCTTGATAACAGAACTCTCAAACCAATAATGACCGAAGCCCCAACGCAATCTCTGTTTGTAATTCAGGTGTGTAAAATACTGCCATTACTTTGCAAGTACAACAAGCTATCAGCGCCTGTCACTACACACTTGTCTGTGTAGAGAAGCCAACGGAGCTAGCGGAGCTAGCCACGCTCAATAAACAAATACATATCTATCAATCAACACCATTAAACGTCAATGCGACAGTACAGTACACATATACATCCTTAACACACATGCACGGATGATTTCAGAATTTGCTGTCAACGTTTTCATGACAAAAATACTGTTTTAAAGTGACAAAAAGCAACAAACCCGGAAGTTACCATGAAACAACTAGCTAGCTTAGCTGTTACCTGCCTAGCACGTCCCAGTGAAACCTTTGGGAGCTAACTATTTTATTTGCAGTCATTAAATACATTTCTAATTATAAGGGCTGTGTAATATTTGTTTGAATATATATATATATTTTCTATTTTAGAATTATATTTGAATGTTGAAGTCGAAGCCCTGGTGTTGAGCAGCGCTGTAGAGGCTAGAGGACACAGGCTGTTCACTGCTGGTTCTGTGAGCGGAGGAGAACGTCCCGCTCAGACTCTACTCAGCGCTTTTCACGGCATAAATTTCATACACCGCTGAATCAATGACCTCAAGTTTTCAATTAAATTATGTATTATGATACAACTTGTGTATAGTTGTATCATAACGGGTATCATATCGGGTATAGCTTCTTTAAGTTTAGGCATGAATTGGTAGTTTGTCATATTTACTTCCGCTTCCGTCCCAATTCCGTATATGATCTAGTGCTGACCATAGTTGTCCCGTGGGAGACCAGGGCGCCAGAGACCGCGGGAACATTCACACAGTCGAGCCTGTTTATGGGCTGCAGACTCCCAGAATGAATTACAGTCAAGGGGTAAATATTCCAACAATCTGGGTCATCGGTGACAAGATACGAACAGATACGGACGGAAGCAAACGGGAAAGATAGTGTGCACAAAGATATGACGCATGAGATGAGACGACATTAAAGATGATGGGGATCAGATATGTTCTGTTGTCGTTTGTCAAGTTGACCGTGTGCTCGCAGCTTTCTCCAGGACCAGACCAGTTTTGTCCACTGCTGAACAAGTCCTGTGTGCGATGGTTCGCGGTAGTCAAGAGAAAATTCTGATTTTGCTGGTATTTACTCAGCTCTGTCCCTGACGCCATGTGGGGACTTGTCACTTCAATTCACTTCAATTCATTTTTGTAAAAATCACAACAGCAGTCGTCTCGGAAGACTTTACAGAAGTCTTAGATTCCACAAAAACAGATCAGAGAATCAAATGAATATGTGGCAGTTATTGGTTCATAGGGAGCGGGAGGATCAATGTCCCGAAAAGCGTTTAATATTGTTCCTGAAAATGAGATGTATTAAATCCCAGGAAACGACTACGCTGTTTTTTTTGTAGTTGTTGTTTTCAGCCCCAAGTAATGTATGATATCACTCATTTGTATAATATTAAACCTAAATCCATCAAAAGCTGCCATCTTCGCTAGTATTTCACCAAGCGACTTGCTAGCTTTGCTAAAGTAGCCATCTAGCGTTTTCAGAGGTTTTGTTGTTGGGCTTTCTTCAGGAACTTCACTATTCTGAGATTCTAAATGTCTGTAATCCACGTGTCGACCCCAGAACCACCGGGCGATCCGGTCACACAACATGCACTCTGCGTTTTCATTTTCAAGTCTTTTAAAAAGGCTCCCACACAAAGCTGGCAGTAGACATCCTGCAGTAGATACTGCTGCGTACGCTACTGAGTGCAACATTACCGTAAGACAACAGTTGACGAGCACTCCAATAGGAGCGCACTGGAATTTTGTTTTAACTTTTATTTTCTGTTTCCCGTCATAACATTTCCCGGGAATCTGGAAATACTTTTGATCAGATTTGCCGGGATTAAACCCTAGTCCAGAAATGTCCTTAATTTTCTCGCTGTCCTTAGACCAGGGATCTCAACCTGGTGCTTGGGAGCTACCAATAGCTCACCAGCCCTCATACAGGTAGCTCCCATAATGATTTATAAGGAATCACTATTATAAATATAAATATAGGGTTATACAGTATTATGGTTTATTATACATGTGTTTTCCATGTTTTGTCGTGAGTATTACATATATTTTTGTTATGGCTGCAAAAAAGAATAGCTCTCTACCTGTTCCGTTTGTATAAAAGTAGCTCTCTGATTGAAAAAGGTTGGGGACCCCTGCCTTAGACCCTCCTGCTTCTGCAAAGAACTACAAAGAAACAGTGGGAAAAATGTGAGAAACCTTGAGGAGGCCCACAGTGAGAGCGGAATCCAATCCCGTGGAAGGACAAGGCTGTAGATCCAGGGTTTAGGCTTTCATACCGGAATGAATTTGACAACGGAGCATTCGGGCAGATGGAGTGGGGAGTGATAAAGTACCTGACAACAACTGCAGGCTAAAATCAAGTCAAAACTCCAAAAAAAATCCCATTTGGCATCGGATAAATTCATGCTATATTTACATGTT